TCTCAGGGACCTCAATACAAGGACCCAGGGTCTTCTTTCTCACAAGAAGGTCAGAAGAGAAATACATCCTCAGCTCCTTGGCATTCCAAATCACCACAGTGCTGCCACACAAGCCTCTGGGCTGCTGCCTGGGATTATTTTCAGGCCACGGAGAAAGGGAGAAGGCTAAGGAATTCTCTTTCATTTCACTCTATCAATAACTGAACAGCAAGGTCTGAAATATTGATGGATATGCACACTGAGTGCATTCCGGGCAGAAGGAGGTGGGTGGGGTGGTCCTTTTCAAATCTGCTGTCTTGGATCTTTACCGGAAAAACAGCTAAACAGTTTTGGGTCAGGAGGAATGAGCCAGAAAAAAGCTGCTCTATGCATTGTGGCCTGCTTTAGGCATCTGTGATCTGCGAGGGATGCCTCTGGAATCCAAGGCTTCCTCCAGATCACAGAACATGCTGTTTTCCTGAGGAGGTGTGGGGTGTGTCTTAGTTACTTTTATACTGTAATAAAATGTTATGACCACATGGCAACTCAGGGAAAGGGGTATTTTGGTTTATAGCTTCAGGGAGATAGAATCTATCATGGTGGGGAAGACACGGGAACAGGCTGGCAAGGGTCATGGCAGGAGGCGGAAGCTGGCTGATCACATTGCGTCATATACAGGAAGCCTACCGTCAGGACAGGAAGTAGGACGCGACTGTAAACTCCTCAATGTATACCCTCAGTGATTTACTTTCTCCAGCAATGTTCCGCCTCCTAAGTGGTCCACAACCTTCTCAAGGAGCATCATCAACTTGGGACCAAGTGTTCATAGGCTCACAAAGGAGCCTATGCAGGACGTTTCTCATTCAAGGCACCATTCGGTGCTGCTAACCAATGCACCCCATCGTTTCCCTAATTAAGACACTATGACCAGGAGTCCACAACAGGAGCATGCGCTGAAGCTGGTTCTCCAGTAGGTGGCGCTCCCAAAATGCCTACGGAGCCTTCAGAGCTCGCTAAAGGCAGTCCTTAGCTCTGGAAGAGCTGTTTTTATCAGCCATGTTGTAAAGGAGCCCCACCATCACCACCAAACACGAACTCCACCGTACCTGCTCTGCCAGATGGACTGAGACTCTCTGCAACAGCAGGGCCTAAGAAACCTCCACCCCCGCCCCCCACACACACACACATACACACTTAACGTTGTTTCTGTCAGATATTTTGTCATAGCAACGGACAAATAACTGATACATTCTCACTCCGGCACATCCGCATCCGGTGAGTGGGAACATTATTTCACATGTGAAGGGGTAAGAATCAAAGCGACTCTTTCTCCAGAAAGTTTTATTGAACGGACATGTATGCATGTATCTGTATGTGTTGGCCACTTTTAGGTGAGCCTGACACAAGCCAGAGAGAGTCCTTTGGGAAGAGGGAACTTGGAGAAAATGCGCTAATGTGATCGGCCTGTAGGCAAGCCTGTGGTGCATTTTCTTAACGGATTATTGATGTGAGGGACCAGATCACTGTGGGCAGTGCCACTCACAGGCTAGTGTCGTGCTCATAGGAACTAACTGTTAATTTTATAAAACTGTGTGTGTTTCTCAGCTACTCTCTTATCCTGGATATCACACAAGTAATTGAGACTGGACTGTATTATTTTAACAAGCCTCACAGCACAAGAACTGAGCCATTATTAACCTATTCTTAACCCTCTAAGCTAATTTGGCTTCCTTGCAGAGTACATCCCAGAGATACTTGCACTGTGGTGTGAGAGTATTAGCTGACATAAACTCTTTCCTCCCCAGGTTGTTTTTGGTCATGCTGTTTTATTACAAAAATAGAAACCCTAACAAAGACACTTTGTGTGTTCCATATGTATGTGTGTGTATATCATTACCAAATTCCGTTAAATGTTTGATTATGTGGGGGAGGGAAGTCTGTGCACATGGATGCAGTTGCCTGAGTTGTTCAGGCACAGGTGCTGGTACAAACTCGTAGGAGTACAAACAACATCCTGTCTTGGCCACCAAGTTGTCTCTTCAGCCCTTGTTACCCATTTTAACAATTGTGAATACACCAGTGGCAGGCACTATGGCTCAGAGGGTAAATTCAATTGCCACTAAGCCTGGCATCCTGAGTTCAGCATCCAGAGACCCTGTAGAAGAAGAAGGAGAGATCTGATTGCTACAGGTTGTTCCCTGATGACCACAAGTAGACTACAGTGTATACACACATGCACACATTTTAAAAATAAAATGTGTCTATTAAATAAAACTTTCATAAGTCTTCCTTCATCTCCAGTTCCTGGAAAAACTAGTGAAATTCAGTTTCAACTTTCTCTCTTTCATGTAAATTATAACTAATTTCCTGTGACTTCCTGTTATTACATCCGCCTCACTGGGGAAGACACACACCTTCCGCCTCCAGGACAATTGGACTGTGGGAGAATCTCTAAAGAGCAATTTTGTATTTGATCCAATAGGGTCCCCAGGGCTTATACTAGTCAGTACAAGTTTCATTTTATATTTGGATTTTCTTCTTTGTTTGTTTGTTATAGCACTGGGGATCAAATCCAGGGTTTTATGTATATTAGACAAGCATTGTATTGCTAAACAACAACCCCAGCCCCTCACTGGGGGATTCTGGGGGATTCTAGGATTTCAGTGCTCTACCACTGAGCCATATCCTCAAGTGTATCCTTTCACTGAGGGAATACTACGGAAGCAAACTACTGATGAGCCATACTTACAGTTATTTCTCTGTTCAAAATCCTTACCCAAGGTGATGAGACACAAGCCGAAGCCATGGTTTGGCCCAGCTGCTCTTCTGTCTCTCTGCTCTGTCAGTACTGAAGCCAAGTAAGTTTGTGAAAGTCCATCCCATACTAAGACAGTCATGGAAAAGATGTACACAAAAGTGCCTCACTGCCATAGAAATGGTTGTTCCCATTTACCTGAGTATCCCTGGAAAGACCCGCAGTCACTCACTTTCTGTTGGAAGACACAGTTACCCACCAGCTCTTTAGCAGTTGGAAATAAATATCCTCTAACCGCTGTGGCAGACAGGGTGAAGCCACAGTCCCAACTTCTTTTGCTGACCATGACTGCTTAGTCAACCACATGGAGACAGATCCTAACGTGCCTTCATGGCAGATACTCATGTTTGGGCTCTGTGGGGGCCAAAGATGGCCACATTCACATGCTTGTTTAGGCAATGAGCCAGACAAAATCTGGGGAATATCTAGCCTTTCTGTCAAACAGGAAAAAGCTCATAGCATACTGTTTCAGGCCAGCGGATGGGGCTCACCTGGCAGCATGCCAACTCTCTACAGTGTTTGCTCTCTAATGCTGTATATGCCAGCCTGTGAGTACACAGTTGTAAGCCAGGTACTTGGAGGGCAAAGGCAGGAGGATCAGGAGTTCAAGCAGCCTGAGCCACATACCCTGTATAAAAGGAAAATAAAAGATGATGAGAAGAGAGGAAGAGGCAGAGAGAAGAAGAATAGAGAGAAGAGGACAGAGGGG